GCCGGCCAAGAGCGCGACCAGTTGCCCCGGCTCGTGACGGCCCGTGCGCCCCCCCCCACCCCGCGGTGCACTGACCCGGAGCGAGCGACCCGTCCCCCCAGGCCTCATGGGCAGCAGGCAGGGATTTTCCTTATGGCCACTCACCTGTGGTGGTACGTGGGGGGTATCTGTGGGGACAGTTTCAGCAACCTACTTCCCTAAGAGGTTTATGTTGTTAGAGGGAAAATTCCCATGTCAGTCATTCATTTTTATCATCTCACTGAATCCAACATGCGCACCAAGGGCTGGCTGGACATGTGAATACTAGTAAGTGGCACAGGGCTGTCCTTGTCCTACTCCTTCTCTCTCCTCCAGCCCATGCACAAACCAGGCAACACAAGCTGACATTTGTCTTTCATCCATCTTTGGCAGGAAAGGGGGAGAACAGGAATGTATTTTTCCAGAAGGAAGGGCAGTTTGCTTTCCGATGGAGTTGTGCGGTCTCGGAGCAATAAAAGACAGCTGCCCCTTTGTTTGCTCTACTTTATTCACAACCACTGTACAGGGAGGTTTTTACATCATCAGTCTGTTCTGTTTTCTACCAGGGCAGAGGCAGAACTTCATATGGCAGCAGCATCTCTCACAGCTCAGCTGGAACAGGTGGGGAGCTGCATGGTAGCCTAGGGCTAGCCACCCCTGGCTCTGGAACAGCAGTCATTGTCTTCAGCATAGGGCAGAGCCTCAGGCAGCCCATGGTGCAAGGCAGAAGGTTTCCCTGATACTAGAACACACAGAGGCATAAGTGCACTTGGGCTTTTTCTGCTGGTTTACAGCTCTGGGTCAAGGGCACCCCAGGAGACAAAAGCATCCATCCACATATAACCTGTGGACTCTTGAGGCTGGGAGCAAAGCAGAGGCAAGAGCTGCCATGAAGGGGAGGGATGTTGGCGCACACATTTCCATAGCCCCAGCCCTGCCTTCCGCAAACATGGCCTGGGGCAGAATGTGCCTGGGGAGTCCCTCAGAGACTGAGTCACACTTGCTGCAACTGAAGTGAGAAGGGTGGGGTGAGGGAGGAAATGAAATGCAGTGGGAAAGGCTGGAGGGAGCTGACCTCTTTGCAGCGATCACCACAAGGAGGTGCTCTGAAACAAGGTATGAGGCTCTCCAGACACTGTTGCTATGTATGTGGAGTTGGGGGGACTGTATGTGGACTGGGGGGCTGTAAGGTGGTTGATCACATGCCTAGAGCTTTAGCTCAGGTTTCTGAGGCTGAACAAGGATGGATTGACCTCGCAGGTATGTGGCTCAGCCAGGACTCGGTGCAGCAGCACCAAGAGGCCAGGCACTATACAGACCCACAGGAGGGCTGGGGCTGAGACAGAGCCCAAACCCCCAGCCACCCCTTATCTGTCTCAAGGACCCCTGGTCCAGGCTGCCAAGGGCCTGTACAGCAGCCCCATGTGCTCACTTCTCATTCATGTGGATGCAGCCCTCGATGACCTCCTTTAGCTCTGGCACTTTCACTTTATAGAAGCTGTTGGGTTTCAGGCCCTGTGGAAGAGCAGTCACCCTGAGTCCAGCAGGTCCCTTCCTGCAAGGGCCACCCACAGCTCAAAGGATTGCTTAGTGGTACAGGGCTCTCCCAGACTGGCGTATGGGCAAGGGACATGCTCCCTCCAGGTCTCTGGGGCCTCAACCTACAGGGCTACAAGCTGAGCATGGAAACAGCTCCACTGGGAGGGTCTTAGAGGAAACACCTCCCTTACCCAATCACTCACCTTTGGACATGCCCTTGTCCTTCACAACCTGGAGAGACAGAGCCTTTCACCCCCCCAGCAATGACTGAGCTCAGCAGAACTGCTCAATGCCAGGACTGCTTCCGCCCACCAGCAGTGAGGCCCTCTTTCACCTCCCTGCACCCCACATGTTTGCACACATGGGGGTAATTTAAATTCCTGAGCCTTGTGGCTTCCATCTCCCAGGTCAGCAATCATGGAACAAACCGGCCCTGCACTGGATCCAGCCAGCTCAGTGACTGAGGAGCTCAGGGCACAGAGCCAGATGGGAGTGGCTGGATCTGGCTCCCTAGCTCTGTTCCACAAGCACGCCTGCAGCTGCTGCCCATGCACAATGCCCACTAGACATGCTGAGGAACAGCTGGTGGGGAGTGGATG